TAACAATACGGACTTCAACAATACGTTCTGAACCTGAGTCTGCCGCTTACCAATCGTCCTCGCAGGAGGTTCCGACATTGTTTCGCAACGGCGCAAAGGAATTCCAGCATAGCTCTGACATAGCCCATTCTGATAGAGGGGGGGCCGGCGGCAGGGGGCGAAGCCATTACGGATTCTCTCTTGTAGACCGAAAAGCGCTACAATAAGTGGACGATGTTTGCAAACAACAACTTTGACCAAGACAATCCCTCCACAATATTGATGACAACTCTATCCGGAAACGCTCACGCAGAACCGCACTTACACAAAACGAGAAATGTTCCTCTCGAGGTGCGAGCCGCAATGAGCGGCGGGCGCAAGAGCGTCAGCACCGCCGAACGCGCGGCGTTCGGATCGTCTGTCAGCATCCGCGCTGCAAGAAAGACGAGGAGCTGTTCACGCTGAGCGCGATTTGTGGTTTGGAGTGTGAGTGGGAGTGAGCAAGACAGCTAAAGGCTCACCGCAAATGGATACCCCTCCCCCCGTGTTATCTTAACGTAGGCGTGGCATGTTGCCTTGGAATTGAATATGGTTGCAGTCCGGATGACTGAACCCACTGAGGCTTACAAACTGATATCGACACAACAATCAAACCGCGTGAACAGTACGGGAATTAGGCCAGTGAAATCGAAGTTAGATCCATGGAGACGTAAAATATTTCCACCCCCAACACAAAACATAACCAGACTTGAACTCATGCATCCTGAACGCAGAGCCAAAAATATAGTTTCATCCATGCGTTTATGCGTTCCGCTGTCACTGTTGAAGATGTCAGTTCAAGGCCTAACAGAAACAAGTCTTTTTGTAGTGATGGGCGTGACGTCACTTCCACTACTGATGCGAGAGAGCTGATGCAAAACGCCGCGCGTATATGGCAGATAACAAACTTTTACGTCGTCGCCCGCGCAGATCGCGGCTTGCCCCACGGCTGCCTCCATCGGCAACTCCACTCTCACCCTGCTTGATACTCGATACTCTTACTACTGAACAACCTGTTTGGCAACCTGCACACGTTCTGGCCTCGTGCTATGGCGTCCGACCCGGCGACTGCGGGCTGCGCGGCATTCGCATGGCTGTGAGCAACCAGTGCTAACCCTCGCCAGCTTGCCCCATCCAGGTGGCTAGGTGCTGGTCCTCCAACTCCACCTGCTGTTGCTGCCTGCTGTGCGGGTGGAGACGTTGACCAAGCAAGCGTTGGGGTGAGGCTGTACTGGTGGCTGCTGCTGCCTTGGGGGATCAAGCTCGTCAAGCGGCGCTGGCTCTCAGCCCCCACGAATTCCCACGGCCCCGCCGACACACAAACACGCACACACACAAAACACACACACACACACACACACAAAAACACACACACACTCACACACACACACAACCGCACACGCACACGCACACGCACACGCAACAGCAAACACAAACACAAACACAAACACACAAACACACACACACACATACACACACACACACGCACGCACGCACGCACGCACGCACGCACGCACGCACGCACGCACGCACGCACATGCACGCACCTACGCACGCACGCACGCACGAACGCACGCTGTTACGCACGCACGCGCGCACACACACACACACACACACACACACACACACACACACACACACACACACGCACACGCACACGCACACGCACACGCACACGCACACACACGCACAATCTACAGCTGGGCGGCGACGCGCGTGAGGTCCGCCCCACCCCTCGGGGTCGTGCGCTGGCCCACGCACGTTTCTTGGACTGCGGAGCTCTCTCCTTGCCCACCACCCCTCCCCCTTGCGCACCACCCCTCCCAAGATTCACCCTCTCTCCTTGCTCCCAACCCCCGGGCCCCGCCCGGCCAACTTTTTCGGGCCTGCGCGTTTGCGCTGGGCCCAGGCTGGTGCGATGACAGGGCTCGCGCTCCCGCGCGGTGCGCGCGCGAGCGGGCGGGGACGAGGGAAACCACAGTTCGCACTCGCTCGTCATCCTTCTCATTCACCTCAAGCCCTTACGGATGCGGGCGCTCGGGTCTCCTGACGCCACCCTGGCCACCTTCACTTCCTCAACCTCCCGCTCCTGCTTCTGTTCCTGATCCTGCTCCTCCTCCTCCTCCTCCTCCTTCTCCTCCTCCTTCTCCATCCCTCCCTCTCTCCCTCCTTCTCTCCCCCCTCGTGTCTCGGCCTGGGGGCAGCTCAACGGCTCCCCACTCCAAGCATGGGAGGAGCCCCCAGGCATTGGGGTTGCGCTCCACCATGGCCAAAAGCCACCGTGCGCTGCTCCCCACTCCTTCACTTCCCTTCTCTCCCCCTCCTCCTCCTCCTCCTCCTCCTCTTCCTCCTCCTCTTCCTCCTCCTCCTTCTCCTCCTCCTCCACCTCCTCCTTCCCCTCACACGATTCTGGAAGGAAGTCCCTCCATCCTCCGTGGCCATCGCTCCCCCTGCAGACCACGTTCCCCCCGCCCCCCCACATGCAGGTGCTCGCGGACGTACTACGGCGATCGCAGAGCACCCCCGTCCCGACGTGCCCCACCCCGCCCCAGA